GTTACAAAGTCAATAGAAACTGTATTTTAAAACGATATCAAATCCTCATGATAAGGGACATGGAAGGTTGCATGCTCAGTGATCCATACTATTGCTTGCAAATCAGATCAAGGAGATTAGTCTTTTCTGCTGATCAGTTTACTTGCTTAATGCAAAGCAGTGAAAGCGGTGCAGTGGAACATGAAGCTAAACAAGTCCATTTTCTGAAGCACAGAATTAAATGCTGCAAGAGTTTATAGAATTAAAGGTCTCATTTAAACTGACCAAAGCCTGACAATTCGGATGCATGCCTGTTTTATATCCTGCTGTTTGCAGGCACTGCAGGAAATTTCTGCCTTAAATCTTGCTAAAYCCAAAACAAAAACAAAACCCTGAGCAAGCAACGCCCTTTCTCAAGTACACATACACACCTCAAATAATAAATTTATGAGTTAAAAATTAGAATTAGAACTTTGAAATGTCTGATTTAAACTGATAGAAGCCAAAAGTCCAGTGCAAGTCTGCAACTTCTTATACGGTGCTTTACGAAAGGTTTATGGCAGTATAAACAACCCATGGTCTCCCACATGGCCAAGCATGAATGGCCAAACATTTATGAATAAAGAAAACATTCACAATAACCAGATCTTATTCTAATTCAGTAACTGCAAAGATTACTGCACACCGTGGACTCTCCACTCGCGTGGCCACGCAGCTCGTGATGGGGCCCCTGAGCTCCATTCTGCATCTCCCTCTGAGCTCCATAACTGCAGTCATTACTACAAAGTGCTGCTGCCTCTGCTCCTGCTCTAAAAGTGCCTTCAAGTGACGAAAACTGAGAGCTATGTCAGTAAGCACTGTGAAAGTCGACCTTAAATTTTACCACCTACCAAGGCCATTGAAAAACTAGCCAATATTCTGGGGTTAACAACATCCTCCTCATCCCCTTCGATTGCTACCATAAAGTGCTAGCAACTTTTTAAAAATAGAGATCAAACAGACACAAAATGTCACAAGAAGCTTTTTAAAAACTAAGCTACCACATGGCTGCAGAACACGGTTGCTTTGTGGCACAGAGCCTGTCCCTTTCTTGTACACGGCGAGTTAAAGGACTTGCAAAATGCCCTTTCTCACAGGGAAACACCGGCTGCTGCTTTGATGTGGTCACCCCACAGGGTTCAATAAGAAGTTGGGAGTTTGGGTCTGTTAACAGGCTAGGGAGACTAAATGGGGACTTAGGCATATAGTACATTAGAATAATTGCAGGACAGATGTTCATGTCCCTGCTAATATCTCACATCTTGGCTACCTTTCCTGGATAGTAAGGGCTAYCTAAAATGCCCCCTCACTTGCAAAGCTTAATTCTTGCATAGCAAGCAAACATTCATACTGCAACCCAGTATATCTAAGCCCTTCAAAGCACAAAACATTGTTTTTCTGATGTAATTGTTAATACTGAGAGAGGATTTTCAAATGAGCTTTGGGGTAGGGGCATGTGCAGAAGAAAGCAGTGGAATATTTGTACCTTCCTGTGAAGGAGACAGATTCAGGCTTGCTCCATCCATGCTGTGAGATAACTAAAAGTCGGGCAGCTCCAATCCAGAAGCTCCGTGGCTGCAATAGCAGGACGTCTGCAGACACGCTGCAAGCTCTGGCACAGCAGCTTGCAAACGCAGTGATGCAGTTTCCAAAACAAAGCAGCCTTGCCACCAGCCAGATGAGGATACAGCCAAGTGAGCTTGGTCTGTTTGCRTTCACCTGCTCCTAGAAAACCTAACTCCCGCTTCACAAATATCTTACTTGACAATTAACATGGACAATGTTATTTTTTGCTTCAACAAAGCTGCAACCATTTCCAGCAGCGTATGATCTGGCTTGCATTCCTGGCAGGCTGCTTATTTATCATCCAAATCAAGGAAAATTGGGCAGTCCATTTGCTTCTCTTTGTTTGGACAAACTTCTTCCAGTTTCAGTTTCTGGTCTGACAGTACCTGTCCAAAATTACATATCAGCTTTCAAGCACTGCCTAAGAATGTTCACTTGTGCTAGGATGTTTTTCTAATCAAAACTGGAAACCAAACACGAACTGTATCTAACCATTAGTTAAATTTCAGTAAGTTTCGTTTCACATTATACAATTTTTGTCAAATTTCATTTTACTTCTACATCTGTGCATACATATTATTTACATAACAAAAGTCTTTGAGATTGACACCTTTTGCATSTGGTAGAAACTGGTTAATATACACCAAAAATAGCAGAAAGAAGGAAAGACAAACAGCAAACCATGTTAAAATTTAAATTAAATTCCTATGTCCAATAAATGTGACTGCTCACCTTTATAAACATTCACATTAAAACTAATGGCCAATGTTGAAAATGAAGCCAATTGGGCTTACTGTCCATACTGAAGTCTAAAACCTGAACTTCGGTATCCTTTTTTAAAAAAATTAGTTATAAAATTATTCTTCAGTTTCTGCCTCTTCTTCCTCTTCTCAAAATATTCCCTATAAAAGTCCTTTGTAAAAAAAAAAAAGTGTATGGACTCTACCACTTACCATGTTTTTAACTGACCAGAGATAAAGCAAGAGAGAATTATATTAAATACCATCTCTTACACAGCAATACTGCTTATTCTTCCCTTTAGAGAACTCCCAGATGGAGATGATTTGATATATCAAAGATTGTGGTAACAAATGAAAAGCTCATTGAAACAAAAACATAGTCCCCTCCTTCATCTTCTTCTTCATCAAACAGAGGAAATATATGATACTCATTTTTCCACGAACATATGAATATTTAACCCCTTTTACAGCTCCCCAAAAAAGAATCTCATCTTCATCCTGATTAAAACACCATTTGACAAGCCTTGGGAGAAGATATCCAAACACATATGGGACCTTTTTTTTCTATTAGATTAGAACAATTTAAAGATTCTTCATAAAAGCGTGCATGGGACACCCTGAGTGAAACAAATACTACAAACCATGCTGCTGCTGTCAGTCTTTCCAAAAAGCACTGAGGCTGCATAATTTTGCCTTGGCCCTGACCCAACACTATTGCAGCAGCGGTGTTGAGATGTACACGGAGATGTAAGCAAATCCTACAGAAAGCAGGCAGGGCTCATTGATAAGCAACCACCCTGAGCAGGGTGGCGAAGAAGGGATGTATGAACACATTCCTGCCCTGACACACATCCCCAGGTTATGAGATTTTTCCTCACGCACAGAAGCTCAAAAATSTGAAATGATGATGAAAATTTTAATGCAAGCTGAGCTACCTCGGTACTAGCGGGAATAACTATTAAAATCTTATGAAAAACATAATGAAGCATTTTTTTTTAATACACTAACCACAGAAGATGGCAATTTATCAAAACCATTTGCTACATCTGACTAATAGTTTTGTACATTACAGGAATCCACAGCTAACAGATGAATGCTGATAAGCTGTAAACTATTTCTCTTCTTGTAAATATAGCAAAGTGCCCAAGAGCGTTGCTAATACTGCAGCTATAAAATCCTTAACAACAACAAGAAAGAGAAATACTAAAAGCATTTCAGGAGTATAGAATMCAGGTCTTTTCACAATTTTCCACCTTTATGTTGCCTTCCTTCCTTTCTTTGGGAAAATAAGCATCACACAGCTATGTGTTATGGGCTGTGTGGCGGTGGGATTGCAACGTTTGAGCAACATTCATCCTAGTTACAGCCTAAATGGCAGAGCCCTAAAGGAAGAGCTGGATGCTGTGGACGGCTATCACCTCAGCTAAAGGCATTTTGCCTCTTGAATCAGAGCTGAATCAATGTGCTATTAAAATATTAGGCAATGCAGAGCTGTTTTAGACAAGCGACAGCTCGGAGAAAAGCGATGGGCAATATCATCATGCTGGTGCATGATGTGCCTCCGATGGCTCCCACTTAATCCACTTCTAACAAGTACCGTTCAGGAAACAAAATGGGAATATTCTGCTTTGTATGATAGGGCAGATAATCATGATGGCTTCTGCTGCCCATAAGGACTATAAATATTGGCAGCAAAAATACAAAAGCAGGATCCTGCTTGACTCCAGTTATGACATAGGAATATTACAAAGATCTTCTGACAGGCTGCTGTTATGCAAATACCTGATATGCTGATGTAAAATATCCCAGATATGCCCAATTATATTTTTGCTAAAGATCTGAATTCTGCAACTAATTTTAAATTTGAGTCTGTAAAAATAACCCCAAAGTGACAGCAATAGGCAATTTTAACAGCTAAAGTGCAACAGCAGAAAAATGAAACTCTACCTGAGAATCATAAAGCATCTTTAAAACATTAATGGGTGAAAGTCAACCTTGCAAGGAGGACAGCACAGCCCRTACATCACTTAAGCCCTATTTAAAGCCTCAAAATACAGTTTGAGACTTAAGTGGTGCACAGCATTTGTGCTGACACTGTGCAGAGCTGTGTCGCCCATTAATGACTTAATCCTCACATGGAAACGTTCCTCTGAGCACTGTCAGTGTTGTTACATGCACTGGTTTTGACAAAAGGAATGACTTTTGCTGCTTTATTTCTTATTTTGAGGAGTTTGGCAGCAGGGTCATCTTAGCACATTTCCACTTCCCACCTTCATGCTTCTCTGCCTTATGGCAAACTGTGTTTTGGGCCTAGCTGCAAACGGAGTCAGCAGAAGCTGGTATTGCCTCCGAAAACCTTTCACCATGAAGCCACAACACAAGTTAAGCAATTACATGAGCTCTGTAACACACTGTGATAAATCTTGCAATCCTGTGTGTGCAGGAAAATTATTCAATGGCAGTTGGCTGCTCACTGGGAGGTTTCCTGTGAACTGCTCCTGCTCCTCTTCAGGGACGCTTGCAGGGGAGCAGGGAATACCGAGGAAAAGGAATTAACCCAAGGCAAACCCCCACTGTACAGAAAGGAAATACCAGCAAGAGCAGTTCTGAGGGAGCAAGAGGGACTAGCATGCGAGTTGCATTCTCTAAAGCTCTGTATCCATCTCGTCCTTCCAGAGCACACTTTGGAAATCACAGGCTTAGCGCACGGGGGCCTCTGCGATATTCGAGTCTCTGACTGTAGCAGGATCCGGGTGTTTGGCCTCGGCTTCAAAGATTCTCACAACCTGCACTGCAAGGTCACCAGATTAATTGTAAGCAACTTCCCACGGGTTCATAAACTATTGATGATGTAGTCCAATTTTGGCATGTTTGTATTAAAGTCTCCCTCCCTGAACRGTACTGAATGTCACCATTTCTCATAGCGGCAGCAGGGTACAAATACCTTTGAATCCCACTGCCAATGCACTTGCTATGAGCAAGGGAAGCTGAAGTAGCTCTGCCCTTTCCAGGTTTGGTTCCGAGGAAATGCAAAGCTATGTATTCCTGCCAATTTTCTCTGTGGGGSTTTGTTTAACTCTTGTTTGGTTCAGCTACAGTGTAGTTCAGTGAAGCCTGAAATCACAATATTATTTCTCATTTTGTGCRTCTGGAATCGGCACGCTTGGTTGTTTTCCTAAATGCATTTGAATGCTAAGTGTTACAGTTAAATATAAAATATAAGGCTTCCTCAACACAGCTACAGCATTTCTTATTTGAATGTTCTTAGTCATAGTTAAATACTAAGTCAGAAGTTTTAATGAGTATYGAAATGATCTTGTTGGGCAAGACTGTAATTTTATTATAAGCTACCATACACAGACAATTCTATGCTGAATTATTTGCTGTAAGGATACTCAAATATAGTGTTGGATGTATCTCATAAATCTTCACAAAAGACGTTCAGCCTGTGCCCTGCATACTGAGACCCAACCAAGACTTGCCCACCACGGCCACTGAGCACCCGATCGGGCCTGGCTAAGCAGGGACATTTTGTGCAGCTGATCCCAACACACAGCGACTGAGTTTCTGCACTCCCCTTCTGTTTCACTGTAGCATCTCAATGGTGAATGGATATCGAGAGAGCAAGAGACCACGAAAGCAGATTTTCTCAGCTCTAAGGCCGTGGACTGCCAGATTCCTCTTCTCAACGTCACGGGGATGGAGGCTGTGCACCTCGTGGCTGGTGACGAGCCGTTCGCACGATGGCAAGTGAAAGTAGGAGTTTCTTATGTTTCTACGAAATGATGTAGAAGGAGCAAATCAGTTGTCATGGTAAATTAAAATGCAAAGCGCAATTTGCCTCCCTTCAGCACTGAAGATGCTCGTAGAAATACTTATGTTAATGGCATGCAGTGAGGGGAAAAAAGAAAAAACTCCAAAACAAAACAAAAGGAGTTAAAACCAGATAAAACCAGATGTCTTTATAGGCAATCTGAAAGTGCAAATTGCAATCACTTCTCCAGGTAATCGGCCGAGATGGATGCGGTCAGAGCAATCAATTGCCAGTCATTAGTGTTTCGTTTGGAGGCGACAGGTCTCAGGGAATCCTCCTCGGTGCTGGCAGGACTCTCACACTGGGAGGCTCTCACCCTGGGAGGGCTCCCGAGGAGCGGGATGCTGCGAGCCGCGCTTGGCAGTGCTCCCGAGGCGCTGCCGCTGAGCGGGCAGAGCCGCCACAGCTCCGGACGCGAGCGGCCGCAGCAAAAGGCCTGTGTGGTACCCGCTGCACTCTGCCTCGGCTGCCTTTTAGCCATTCTGTTCAGAAAGGAATAGTTACTTACTAAATATTTACAGGAAATCAGTGTCTTATTGGACCTGCTTCTGGTCCTGGTGTCTTATTGGACCTGCTTCTGGTCCTGGTCTCAGCTTACAAGGCTGTTTCCCCGAGGCTGGCTGCTTGGCTAAGGCTGAGCACTCCACATTCCTGCTCTCCGTAGCTGAGAAAAATATTCCATGGTTGTATAAAGACTGCAGATGTGCTTTGAAAGCTGGAGCATGTGAAAATGAAACACCAGCTTCTCCCCAGTGCTGCCAGCCACCCTGACAAGCTCAGCTCTTCATAGTGAGACCAGAGGTGCTGCCTTGCTGCACAGGTAAAACAAAAAGCAGTTTGCTGATGGACACTCACCATCCAGTATATTTATTTAAGATGGATACTTCTGGTGAGCCAAAATGCCACCTTTGGATGTGAAGAACTGCTGTGAGACACCCGTGGGCTTGTTGGCGCAGGAGGACAGCTCGCTGCCTTGCACTGCCTTGTAGCTAGCACGGATCGTGATTCATTTTGCTTGCAAGTGCTGCCTGTCAGCTCTGAGCAGCGCGGCTCCGTTCCTCATATTTTCATCTCCAAACACGTGTAGAATACCTCCTTGCTTGCACTTTGGTTCAAGGAAATCTCTGTGCTTGCAAGCCTCCTGCACCTTCCTGAGCCTTTGAACCCCGTGGAAAAATCAGCTTCCTGGCTACACAGCGAATGCACAATTAAAGCATCCGAGGCAGATGCAGCCAGCTGCATGCTAATCGTGTCTCTCATGTGGATAGTTTTGCTGAATGAATTGTGAAGGGAAAGCTCAGAATTCTATTTAGAAGGCATTTATTTATTTATTTAGCCTTAATGCCTCTTATTATGGTGGCCCAGAGTACTTATTTATTTAGCATTAATGCTTCTTATTATGGTGGCACAGAGAGCAAAATGATGGACTGTTTCCAGACAAAGATGATTTGAAATAAATTCTACAAATACTCAAAATTTTACACTACAGGAAAGTCCTAGCAAGACTAGTTTTGATATTATCTTTTGTGTTGCACTAATTAATAAATGCTTTTAAAAAATACAGGTAATGTTTCTCCCCCAAAAAAATCAACATAATAATTCTGTCTGAAAATATATCTCCAATATTTTCAGAACCACCAGCAAATCAAATAGCAGAAAAATCATCGAAATTTCACATAAGCCTCTTTTCACTTTTTTCATGACCCCAGTTGGCGGTGGAGAGGGGCCTCACAAGCTCCTCTTCTCCGTATTCTCTCACTTTATCTCCTCTGGAGCAAGCAGATTTTGCTCCTTCTTCCCATGACATACTGCTGAATGTAGATAAGAAAGCACTGTGGCTGCACCAGAGCCACCTACGTATAATTAGATTAGATACCATGCCTAATGTAATTAGATTAGATACCAAAATACAAAGTCCTACTCGGGCAGCAGATGACTTAGATTGTCCAGGTACATGTTGGAGAGGTGAAAGAGCCTGGCAGGCACTTACCTAATGTGCGAAGCAGGTCTCTTGCTTACCCWCAATCCATTCCCATTGCCTGTATTTGTCAAGGGTAGGAATATTTGCTAAAACGCCAGCGAAAGCAGAAACTGAATTTGGATTCAGCAACTTCCTAGAGCTTCTATTTTTCATTCACAGATATTCTTGCAAGTCAACTCGTATTTATATTATGAGTGATATGAACAGCCAACATTGTTTCATGATGGATGAAAGTCACTTCAGGCAGGTGTGAGGGACTGTTTCTCACTGGCTTGATTGCTTGTCCAGAGGAAAGAGCATTTTCTTCCTGAAGGATACAGGTGTTCAAACCATCACAGCACAACTGGCAGTGGATATTGGACTATTAAGGCCAATTGACTTCTGAATAGAGTTTGGCTCAGGTCTGACCACTGCTTTTGAAAATATTATGCCACATCACTAGATCGACTAATGGAAAAGCAATTAAATAAAACAACCTAATTATAAAAAAGACACCAAAGTAGAAGTTTCTAATAGTATGTTGAAATATTATGGTAACAAAACAAATGGAAAGATATATATTTCATTCACGATGCTTGCTTGGAAAAGAAAAATTAGAGCAATTTTATAAGTCAATATATTTTCCCCTGTTCATTCATTTCTTTAGCATCTACCCATTACTAGTGTACTAATTTTGTGAAAAAAAAAAGAAAACGTTGATAAAAGAATGAAATCAAATKTAAATGGCATTAAGAATGACTTCTTAATAGAAATCTTGCTGCAAATAAGTATTGCCTTTCTTGGAGGTACATGTTTCTGGGGGTTGTTTTTTAGGGGAGTTTCTTCTCACGCTCCTCTGGATGTCAATGCTAATTTCTTTGYATCTTTTAGAAAAGTTTTCCTTTATATAATAGATGAACTCTTTCACTGAGTATGTTGTCCAGGAAAGAAACACACTTTCTTTATAGCAATACCAATGACTTTTACTTCAATTTAAATTAGTCCAAAGTAGGTGCTATGTGCTTCAGGACTTCACATTATAAATATCCAGCAATACCATCCACTTATCTACTTATATTTGTGTCTGCAGAAATTGATCCACTTAGCTAGCATTGCATTTTGAACCATCACATATGATACTGTGGGAGTATCTCCTGCACTACCTTCCACGAGCTTCTATATTAGTCTTAGCGAGCTTATGCTAATTGATGCTTTATATGGAATTTATTAAAGTATTTTTTATTCTATGCACTTCCAGATAATCTTTTAGCTCAGTCTTAACATGCATTCACTCTTACAGTGAACTCAATGGTTTATTAATGGGTCAAGAAACTTTGTGACCCTGTTGCTGATGAGGAGCTGTAAATCCTCATCTGTAAAGCTGTAAAGGCTATGTCTAGGCCAGCCTTTTGGTTTTAGCAACTTCCTAAATCCTGCAGTCTGGGGGCTGAAGCGCAGACACTGCTATTACCTGTTGGAAACACAGCCCTGACTCTGCCTGGGGGGCTGTGGCTGGTTCCCACCCAGCCGTGTCCGAGCTCCACGTGGGCAGCGCTGCGCTGATCAGTGTTCACAGGATGGCTCTGGGGAGTGTTTGGGTGGCAGAATGCTCTCTAATATTCACATATTTCACTTCAAGAGGTGCGACAAGGCTTTCTCAAAGCCCTTTTCCATACTTCTCGGGCATTCTTTCATTTTTATTGTAGAAAATTAAAACATAGACTTGTGTAGCCCTGTCTCATTGTGCAAGCATAATATATTTTAAAAGGCATTTTTAAGGCTTTCTTCTTTTAGAAAAAGGCATTCTAAATTACAGAGGAGTGTAACACTTTTCTGTGCTGGGACTAGAAGGTGACCTATTCGCTATCCTCCTGCTGAAATAAAACTTTGACTGCCCAGTTTTAGCCACAGCAGTACTTTTTTGAGGCTCATTTCAAACCATATTAACAAAAGCTTTTTTTTTTTTTCATTGAGGATGGAAAAGCTAACAGCRTTATTATTAGTAGGAAAGTGGTCTTGACATTCTGCCAAAAATCTTAATTTCATGTCACAACTAGAAACCTGCRCAATGTGATTACCTGTGTTGTCTCCACAAGGGTATCTGCTGGACACACATACTTGGTCACGGCACCAGTCCCAGCTTCCATGCACTACTGAAAAACACTGGTCTTGTCTACTGAAAATGTTTTAAAGCTGAGACTATTCAACAAATCTAACTGCAATCAAAAAAAAACAAAAAAAAAACAAAAAAAAAACAAAAAAAAAAAGAAAGAAACCAACCCTGAATGTCAGCTGAGCCAAAAGACCTTTTGGTTATTAATGAGGAGTTTCCAGTTTGGAACATTAAGCAATTTTTTAGCTTGCAGTATTGCAGTAAAGCAACTCACACGCAGTTTAATTTATCTTGCTGGCAGGGTGCCAGTGCAAGGGTGCAATGGTATATGCTCCAGAGGGAGCAGACAGTCTCCATATGGAACATTATTACTTATAAGTATGATTTTTGTATCATTTAGATCACTAACGATGGCTTCCAGTACAGTAATTCCAAAGTCCTGACCCTGTACGATGCAGTTTGCCAGGCCTGTGAATTCCATCCAACCGGAGTTTGTAAATTAAAGGTAATTGAAAGAACATAAAGGTTTAATATGGATCATTCATCTCTTCCTTAGCCCTCTCCCTCCCTTTGATGTACTGTGCATAGTACCTATTTCAGAAGAGGATAATCTATTTCAGAGGTCAGCTGCACGATCTAATGCTTTTCTCTCTTTCACAATCTCCTCTCCATTTTTTCCATTGTTATTATTTCTGTGTGCCATGAATACCTGATAAAGAAGGCTTGATGATAGACTTTTATCAGACTGACATTTCCAGAAAGAACACGGTTGGTAATATTTATATTTGAAAATACCAATGGAAGCAAATAGGACTGCAGATTCTTGTCTGAAAGCAGCTTGCCTTCACTTCCCAAGTGTCTCTGCTAGTAAGTTATTTTACCTTTCAGTGAATTCTAAGTCTATCTGAGGGAAGCACCATCACTGTAGGATTCCTTATTTGTATTCCCATCTCCTGCCTTAGCAAGAGCTACATTGGCATGTGCACGGTGCAACCTTTGTCATGAGAAAACACTCCAGAGGCCATAGAAACATTCTTGCCTCCACTAACTACTGCTAAGCACAAACTCATAGTGCTAAGACAGTATTGATGCTGTAAGCAAAGTCTAGTGTGGTGTTTTCAACTGCCTACACGCTCCTAAGTGCTGGAATAACACTGTGTCTATGTGTGTCCCTGTATACTCAAGTAAATGATTTATTAGTTTAACATCTCCTTTTCCTAAAATYCTCCCCTTATATTCTAAAGGACTACATTAGAAAACATTACTATTTTTCAGCGGGGTTTACAGCACACTTTTAGCAGCTGTTGACTGAAAACGCTTTAATGTCCCAGTCCTGCTTTTCTATCCTGAGGCATTGATGGATAGAGAGCACCACATTTCACTTTTACAAAATAAAGATGAATCAGGTGTAACTAACTATTTGTTTCACTGTTCTCATTGACACTAACATGAAAAAATAGTTCTCAAAGTTGCAGTGACTGCAATAACTTACCAGTTACCAAAATAAAAGGAAAATTTACATTTTTCAAGTAAATCAGTGAACAGAAATTATTCTATAGGCTCAAATAAGAGCAAAATATTTATATTTCTGATTTAAATAATTATGCAGGAGCTTTTTCAATTAAAGCTTTTTTCCTTTTTTTTCTTTTTTTTTTTAAAAAAAAAGCTTTCTTTGTTCTTACATTCTTGAAACATATATGTTTTCTCACTATGGTGGTGTTCTCTGGGGATTACAGTAATTTCTGTTCTAAGATGCTTCAAGGGGCTATTTGAACTGGGCTTCCAATTGCATCAAACCACATTCTAATTATCCCTCTTATAACATTACTTTGTAATACCTAAATTGCTTTCAGAAAAGGTGTTTCAATTAGGGGACATTTTATCTCAGGCCATTTCACATTTTGTGTTCCTCTTTTATGGAGCCCATTCACCACCACATTATCACATCAGAAAAAAAAAAAAAAAAAAAAAAAAAAGCATCTTTCTTCATCAGAACCAAGCCAGTTCCTTTGAAAACAACAATGTAATAAAATCTAATTAACATCCAAATTTTAATGCTAGAGATCTGTGGTGTTCTATCATTTGAGGGCAATTGCAAAGTACTTTTTGTTTCTTTAACTTAGCCAGTACTTTTAAGATGGTATAATTTAAAATATGACCTAATACATCTTGAAAAAGAAACCTGGGAAACTAATAAAGCAGGACTTGGAGACTACAAGATTCGGTAGCCAAGTCAGTCTCGGGAAAAGCTCACAGCACAAGTAGAGAGCATTGTGCTCATTTTAGTACTGCTATTTTATCCACCAATATCAAAGAAATTCAAGCAATCCAAATCAGCAGCTGCTAATTTCTTATCCTTCTTATTCCTTTTCTCCTTGCCTCCACCTCCCAACCATTTTTATTTTATTTTTATATTTTTGCAGGAAAATACTTGTAATATAGATGGACTTTGCTATGGTGAAGGAGAGTCAAGCCCTGCCAGTCCTTGCCTTCTCTGTGAACCCAACACTTCTAAGTTCGCCTGGTCTATTAATAGAAGTAAGACGCCTTTTCTACACSTTGGAAGCATTTAGTTGGGAATTTAGCACTTAGCCTATGAAATACACAGGGCCTAGCGYACAGTGTGTGGATACAGTTTCCAGTGGGAATAATTGGTTGCATGAGAAATGCATGAGAAATTCAAACTAATAAGACAAAAGTAACACCTTAAAGATGAAAAAATTGACATATCAAAGCTTCATGCAGTGCCCACATCTGTCTGCTGAAGTTTGATGAACCTCAGATAGATCTGTGATCACATTCCAAGTACAAATCTTTAAGGGAACTTGCAGAAAACTGCAAACACAAATGTCTGTTCTTGATGTCTTCAAGAATTGTTTTCATTCTCTGAGCCAAATTCTAAGAGGTGCTACATAAAAGGCTTGGGGTTGGCAGGGCRTTGAGGTGACAAGAATCAGCTAGCCATGACTTTCACCGCTCCAAAACCTGCAGATCATTCTGCAGCCCTTCACGATGGGGGTTGTGCAGAAACCTGCTTTTTGAAGCTCTTTTCCTTGGGGGGAAACTGGAACTGCTCAGGGGCAGAGGCTTTTGGAGGGTGCAACGTAAAGAAGAGACAGCAAGAGAGCTGGAACACAGTGGCTGGGTCTATAACTCAAACAGAGACACTGTCGAGAGGAGCTGTGCACAGACACAGCCAGCCTAGGAGGTGGTGGAAAGACACTTAAGAAGGACCAGAAAGGACCTATAAGACAGCAAATCCCTCACAAGTTTCGGCCAACTAAGAACACCATTGCATTTCATTTGTACAATAGTTAAAATGTCTAAGGATAAGACAGCCCTGAAGAGCCTGAGTACTTGAAAGTACCTCTTTTTTTTTGCATAAAGATATAATTTAGTTTAATGAGAGRTTTCACCTACGACTCCTAAACTTTGCCTCCTTACTGTCCTTATATCTCATTGGCACAGCAATATTATTTTTAGAGATGAGTCTGTCCTGAGGACATACTAGTTATTAATACTGAGAAAGCTTCCTATTAAAGCCCAAAAATAACTTAAAAGGCAAAAAGTGCATTCTGTTTGAAATTCTRTAAGTCTAGAAATGATTTAGAAAACATAGAACAAACTGTGATTCACATTTCAGGAACTTCAAAATTTAAAAATACCAAAATGAAAGGGTTCATCTGACTCATTTTCAAAACTGTGAGAACTTCAAAAAGGTTGTGCAGTAACTATGAGTACATATTCATTGAATGCAAAGGATCCTTCAGCGTAGTTACAAACAGTCTGGTTCACAGACTGCTTTAGGAGTCCCTCATTTTAGATTCTTTTGTGCCTATAAGGTTTTGTAATCCTCCATCCAGTTAACACTTTGCATTTATCCGTAAATGCATATCCATTGAATACCTCATTGATTACTTTTGGCACAACCTTTATGGGCTCCACAGTTGGAGTGTTTGTGAAGTAAAAGGTAAATTAATAGATGGAAGCTTTCAGCAGTTATGCCATGGCAATCTGCTGGACAAGCAGTTTCGAAAGCTCTGATAGCAGAGCAGCAATGAGTAGAGAGACATTTAAATAACTGCATAATGTGAGACAAGCTCCGGGAAGCAAAACCTGAGAAGTGGATATGCATGCACAAAAAGCCACTAATAACGACTTCCCAAAAGCATAATGCAAAGACACAAGCAGTCTTTATGAAAACACATATATTGTTGATAGTTTTAGAGTATGGCTTGAAATTAATGCTTGGAAGGAGAAATGTTAACTTAAAACAATGGATGCATTACGTTCTATGAGATGATTCCTTTAAATATCAGTACGTTAATTTGTACTGACGGCTAAAGAAGGAAAAGATGGCTTGAGACTGAGGAGTCTTAAATCACCGAGATGAAATTGCCAGCCCTGCACAGAGCTGCTGTCTCCTCAGGGTACTCAACTCTGCCTTGGGTTTCCAATTTTAAACTGTAATACTTCTTTTCTCTACCTTGTCTTTCTTACCTCTTTATATTGTAAGTATCTGCAGGCAAAGTTTGTCTATAAAATAGCCACGTGCAATTTGGCTTTCATCTTTATAAGAAAATACTGAACATAAACAACAACAACACTAGGAATAACAATGACAATAGTGACAGGACAGAACCCCAGTATCACTGTAGCACGTGTACTGTCAATGAGATTTTTATCCCTGAGTTGTGTGACTAAATTCAGTCAAACTGCTCAAACTCAACTACCACTCAGAACCACTGATGTTGGAAGGGACATATGGAGATCACCTCAGCACTGTAATAGTACCTAGTAATGCAGTCTGCTCAATGGAATAGTTACATAGCTTATTTTTTTTTCCCCTGAGTTGCCCACCCAATTCATTTGTCATTTATCACTTCAAAAATTCATTCACTTACTTTTAGACAGACAGTTAAACAAATGGAGTGGTAGGTAGAATAAATTTACACACGTAACTATTGGAGATAYAGTTAATGTTTTAGAAAGAACTGGGAAGACAGACTAGCAGTTGGCTGTAGAAATCATGTCTGATCTTTTGCATATCAGAAGCCCATCAAGAGAAATCAAGGTTCACTATGGTAGAGAAGTTCAGTATGGAAGATGAGACAAACAGAAGGAAGAAACTAGTTTCTGGTGAAGCTATTTGCTGCCTCTAACATTTAAATAACCTCCATCAGTCTCAGGATATTTCTGTACTTTTTCTCATGAAGGACATTCCTACAAAGAACCGCATTGTGCATGTGTATGTGGGAGAAACTTGACTTTATATAATCATATTTTGTCTTTGCTGTTTAGACAACCTGCCTCCTGTGTTCCAAGCCCCCTCCAGCCAACTGCTGACCTTTACTGGGGAGAATTTTGTTTACCAGCTGGTAGCACTGGATCCGGAAGGGTCAGCTGTGCTCTTCATCTTAGAGGCTGGTCCACAGGATGCCAGGCTCTCTCCTGCTGGCCTTCTCATCTGGAAAGTTGTTTCAGAAGAAACGCAGACCTTTGAATTCACTGTGTCAGATGAATGCAATGCACAGAGCAGATACTCTATTGAGGTAAGAAAATGAACGCTTTAAACAAAAAAGCCGAAAAAACTGTTTATCATGTTAGTGCTTTAGTACAATTGTCATTATAGTTAATAATTCGTTACTGTCTTAAAATCTAAGACTTCAGCTATTTCCTCATAAGTGTATTTTACAGGGCACAGCAATAATGATCAATTAATGGAATAAATATTTCTGAGAACATAGAAACTATATATGCAATGAAAAAGAGAGTGCTATTGATTGCTGTTTGAAAGAACACTCTTGCAGAGCCTGTTAATGGTTCATTAATCTGCTTTAAAATTCACATTCTGCTTTCAGATTATAGAAAAATAAAAGGCATATAACATAAAAGACCAAGTTTTAGCTATAAAAGAGAGATTATAACTCATTCTCAATGATATTTTTAGAGGATGCCTTGCTCTTATGTCATTACTCCACAGTTTAAGTTTTGTGGTAGTGCTCGTGCACTGCTTTGTCTTTACTGTATAACCTAGCATTAATCCCATGATAGCATGAGCTAATGAAATGGGTTGTTGTCTCTTAACACATGAGCATTTTTGTGAGGAAAAGTATTTTTTGCTGTAGTTTCAAATCTTTATCCATTCAAACAACTACCATCAAAAATACCAATCTGCTGAACCAGAAGACAACAAAGGAGAAAACAGAGACTGGATATGATTGTAATGGAAATATTTCAAGCTAGATCTATGTTTAATGAAATATGATAATGCAGAGACTCAAATCTGTTGTAATGCTGTCCTTGTTAATAGGTAACATAACTATAGGCCCCTCTTCCTTGAAATAGAGAAAAGCTAAGGAATGCCTCAGTCAGGTTCCTGCCCGGGAGCCATCTGTAATGGCAAAAACACTAAAGAGGATATGCAGGCAAGCAAAGAGAAAAGATTTCTCATTTCTTCTCTGAAGAATAAGGAACAAATCCTGCCCTCGGATTCTGTGTAGCAACTGCTGTTATAGCAAATAGGATTTTTTTTCTCTTGTAAGAAGTTAGAATGTGCCCATAAACGATAAAAAGAAATCCCTTTAAAGTCAAGCTTTCAGTCACATAAGTATGCTGAGTGTAAGATCATCTATCTAGACAAAGGAAATTGGTTAGAAGTAAGTTTTCATAATACTGTATAACGTATTTGTACTGTAAATCTGTCCTTTCCCAAAGGGTAACAGCTCTCAACTCCGATTATTCAGAAGCGTCTTATCATGACTCCCTTTTGCCCTCCACAGGTTCTGGTAAAGCCTTGCAGCTGCAGCAATGGTGGAACATGTGTTACCAACATCAAATTCCCCCCAGGCCTCGGTGAATATCTGTGCTTATGTCCAAACGGATTTGATGGAGAATTTTGCCAGCAGGATATTAATGAGTGCAAATCAAACCCCTGTGGAAGTGGAGTGTGCGTGGACAGTGTGGACAGTTTTGTCTGTAAATGTCCCCCTGGTTTGGAAGGTAACACATCACTTTTCATCTCAGTTTTCACTGCAGATTGTACCTCAGTCTTTTTAGAGTGCAGCATGACCACAAGCACCTGCCAATGAGGCTGCGTATCCCCTTGTGCTCCCATGTCCTAGCTTTAAACAGAGAGAGAATATGTAAAAATAGCTATTTAATTGTCCGTGCTCGAGGAAGAAAGATTGACTTCTGGCTCTATGATCATAAAATGATCATTCAGGGATGCTGTGAACTACCCTGATCTTGCTGGCTACCTGGCAAATTCCCTATTGATCATTCATGAGATGAGCCAGGAAAAGAATGAGTAGATGAAGAGAGACAGAAGATCCAAGACACTCTTTCACTCCAACAGATTTTATTAAATTCAACCAAGGAGACAAACCGGAAATTAGTGTTTTTTCCAGGTGCAGGAAGGACAAGTAGACATGAAAAATGTGTAAAAATAAATCTTCATTCAGTTTAAACCTTAGAACAGCACAAGCCTGTTGAGTTGTCACACAGGTTGATGGAACAAAGTCCTTCAAACTTCTCAAGGCCGACAACAATATTGTTTTAAGAGATGCAGGGGAGAGAAATGATCACTACAACAAAAGATCTGTCAAAGAATGCAGAATGAAAAACAAGAAGACTTAGAGAACAAAATGCAGTGATGACCAAGGAGATGGACGCAAGACATATGCTGTAATCAAGATGGGAATAAAACCTGGAAAGGCCAAGAAATAGAGACTGCATGCAGCTTCCATGAGATTCATCCTGTCAGCTTGTGCGAGCGGCTTAGCTCACAGTTCCCAATGTCAATGTGTCTGTAGGGCTATGTTCACTCCATCAGACTTCATGTGCTGAGAATGCCTAAGTAGGCTCCCAACTGGATACATCTTCCAATCAAGTTGTCAGGTGGCCGCCTGATCACCTTGAATGATGGGTCCATCCTGCCAATCACTCATATGACTTTTTAATTTGAAGCAATTATGTTTCGCTGGTATAGCAATCTACTCAGGGGGCCCCTACTATTAACGACAAGCCAGAAATTTGTGTTTCAAGTGAGGGCTAAAAATGGAAGGAAGGCGAAGACCAGCTCTACACTTAGCCTAATGACGTTGCAGTCAGCATGTATCCTCAGTCCTTCTTCTGCCCTTCTGCCAGGGCTCCTAGCATCGGTGTCACTTAAGAGAAAAGGTGGCCATTCACACAGCCACCATAGAAAGTAGCACCATGGGGTTACTACCCCTTCACATCAGGTTCAAATCAGTCTTCCCAGGGTGAAAGGTGCCAACTGAAAATATGTTAAAGTATATCTTGGATCACAATCATTCCATAAAACTCAATACCTTAAGTTGAGCTCCCATTTCAGTACCTGAAGCTATTGAAAAAGTGCACATATGAAAGCACATATAAATTCATGAGTCTCATAATGCTTGCTGCTGTATAGTGCTATAGCTTTGGAAAATCAAGAAGACATCACATCAGATGCACAGAATTATTACTACATATATGGCATATTTGCAAGAAACTCTATACTCAATGGACTTATTTAAGAAAAAAATAGACTTTCTCTCCTTCAGCAATTCCTGAAACCATTTTTGTTTGCTTCTATCACACAGTATAGTTTTCATTACCTGTAGAAGTGCAGCAGGATTTAAAAGCAAAAATGATTGAAAATTAGGAATTCAGAAACATGGTCCAAAGGATCTACATAATTACTAGATAGTACACATTCACAGTAATGCTGCAACATTACTAAAGTATGCTAATATGCAAGGTGAGTGATGCCACAAGAGATGCTAATGATCCAAAAATATTTAAGCCTAAGCATAGAGACTTAAACATAGAAACAGAATGTTTGATCAAAATACAAATATGCCTCCCCCACCAAAATCTTACATCAAATGTCACTGTCAAATTCTCTAGAAATAATATTCCTTTGAGAACAGGGAAATGTCGGAATCTTTTCGGGTGTATTCAATTAAACATTCGGACAATGAGGAACAATCCTCATTGCCTACAAGGAGGTGAATAAGTGAGTAAAACGCAACATAATTCCAAGGGTGAATCTGTTCTGTGGGTCTGCTGCTGTTGTTCCATCTTCCCCAACACATTCACGCTGCTGCCCTTTTTCTCACTTTCTGCAGTATTGCATATAGGTGGAATGAAGTCAAGCTCTATTATTCCACATGAAATGTCTGCCATAATTACAATGCCTTGTTTATAAATTCACATGGAGCATTTTCAGAAATATAGTTCTCTTAAAAAAAGAAACAAAAAAAAGAATGAAATATCCAACTCTTAAAGAAACCCTACTTGAAAGAAAAATACATCTACATTATGACTCCAAAAATAAGGGTGCAGGATATCTTGATGACCCAAGAAAAAGTAGATTTTCCCAAAGTCTTTATTTCTTATCAATTTAAATAAATGTGTATTGTTTTTGCTCTGCTTCCCTGGTCCAAAATTCTAAAGCACAAAACAGCAAAATCAACAAGAATAAAATAAAGATATGATTGACTGAAACAGGAATACATCTCAAAGTTTTAATAGAGGGTGAAAAATTATAAGCAAGTGGAGCTGAAAGCCAGCTGGGAGGCAGATGATTTTACTTCAGGGCATGTTCTGTGACAACAATAAAAGCTCATCCTTGATGTTGTGTTTGCGTCTCAATTCCCCAGAAAACCATCAATAATCTAATGAGAAGGCAATGCTGTACTGCTCAAGTGACAACACCACTTCAGCATCAAATCTTTACAAATGGTAGTGAACAGGTAGGAGAAAAAGAAACCCCAATCATTAACTCTTCTGAGAGCTTCCCAAACAGCACTGCAAGAGAAGCTGCAATGTGTTGCTAAACAGCAGCAATTCAAGTGCATCTGTGTATCTCAGGGAATATAAGTATATAATGCAGGAATGGGAACAATGCACAAACAAAAGCCATTGGAAAAGTTGAGAGAAGGATGATTCCAGCATTATTAATATTTTGAATTTCCGTTGAGACTTATACATGTTTATCTTATTGTACATTCAAAGCTTCATTCATTTTCTTTCAATGCTGCTAATGATAATTTCTATTATTTCTTCTTTATGGCTGCTGAAAGAATTTCATTTGCTTGAGAGCAAACCCCATCCCTGTAACTGAAAAAAATCAAGATTTGTTTCATAGTATATAGTAACCATAGAATCCTCCAATGAGATTCAAACTTAGGTAGTGTTTGTTTTAGAGTCAACTTAATGTAAACATGATCAAAAAGCTGTTTTCTGCAGCTGCAGGTGGTCAGTTCCTCTCTAGGCATAAAAGGACTTTATCTTTTCAGCCAATTTCCCATGCAGAGACAGGGAAATAGAGCTGGAGCAGAAACAGAGGTTTCAACCTAGAAACCTAAAGATCTTTTTTTCCTATTATTTTTATTTGTACTGTAGCAGTGCCAAGGGAATCAAGACTCCTATTTGTTGCAGTGCACGGGGGGTCRTGCACACATAATAATTCACATTTCTTGTTATGGACAGTTTTTGGTCCAAATCTGGTGCTTCTTCAGCATCCATCAGCCTAGTTTCAGACTTCCCAAACATTTGTTTTCAGCCTCTGCTGGATTACCATTATGCCAAAAATTTACCAGAATTTTTTTAAAATCAAATCTCTTTAAGAGTGAAATTAAGTGCTTATATAGCTCCACCTTTACATTATAAAATTTAGATTTGTGATTTTTTTATTTAGTTTGATATTTATGATGTTTCTTTGTCTTTTGCAATTCTCTCATCTTTGAGATTTTAAAGATAGTCCCCTATAAAATAGACAGTGTGTAGGACTCCTACTCTCATTCTATGGTTTCATGTTTAGTCTTTTTGCAATATTCAGAGAAAGAAAATAATTACTAATCTAATCACAGAGTAATCCATATAATATTTTCCATAATGTGATGTGTATTGATTTCCCAATTTGTCATCAAAAAAGCATATCAGAAAGAAGCAGCCTAATGTTATAAATTTGCTAATTAAATTATATGACAGAACCAGTAACCCAAAAGTGCAGGGAAAAAAAGAGATAAGGTAATCTCCACAAAACTAGCTGTTTACTCACTGATGTTTAACTTATATGATGTAAGAAGGGATGTTTCCCTAAGCAAGAAGAAGGCATAATCAGAACTGCCTTGCTTGAGGTGGCCTTTTTAGTTCTGTCTGTCTTTTTCCACAAGAGAAGTCTGGCATGGGAGGGGAGACACTGGCTTTTTTAGGCATCTCAGCCAGGAGAAACTCCATTGGAGTTTCTTACATGGAGAAGCTATTTTAACATGAAAGCACAAGTGGAAGCTATCGGAAATGCTGAAGCAGTGAAAGATTATGTAGTAGAAGATGAATAATAATCTGTCTTCATCTTTCTGTAAATCACACCACTATGATAAATCTCTGCTTTGAAGAAAGAATATTCTTTTATCCCTAAATTTTGTTTTCTGATAAGGCCGAATGTCTGATATGCTACAAGTCATTCTCCCCTACCTTAAGCAATGCCTTGAAGCAGGTTCCTGGCATCCATGTGTCACCAGCAAGCGTCACAGTCTCCTCATGTAGACCTGCAAGGTGCAAAAGGCTCTGCTGAATACAGATGGCAAGGGCTGGCTTAAGAACTGCTATCAGGACTGTGTATTCTGGTAACCAGGAGTAGCCAAGCAAGATTTCTCAAATGCACAGGAACAGCAGCAGGCATATCTGAAGCCTGAGGGAGTATTTAACATTACTATATTTGATTCCTACAGTTCATTTGCTGTTCAGATAGTCATTTTAACATTTGGGTCAACTTGCCCTGTAGGTATCCATATCCAGAGTCTGAATATCAGTTACTTCAAGGAATTTTTAAAAACTTGTTTCCAGTATCAATAGTAGCCCATATGCGCTGTTTTGGATTCAAATTCTAGCTTATCTTTCAAACACAAGAACTGTGGATTAAAGGAATTTTGAGAATGTCCCTCCAAATTTTCATTTTAAATAAGAAAACTGTACTTCTAAGAATCAGATTATTTAGTAAAATTTTCCTCTAGCCAGCCAGACTCACTCAGGTTGGTATACAATAAACCATTAGTAATATGAGGGTCACATAGYCATGAGAAGCACAACATGTCAGTACACAGCTCTCAAGCTCCTACAGCCAAAATGGTGACATTGGCTTTTGAAATATATGACAAAGATCTCCCATAAACAACACAAYAAAAGCAGCAGCTAAGATGCAAAATGCAGAGGAAATCACTGCTTTAATATGCAGGGCTTTCAACAAGCAGTTGTCTCAAGTTCAGCATTCTGGTGCCAATAATGACAGTAATAAACAGCGAGATAAAAGCAGGTTTAAGTGAGGCTGTGGGGAATTTGGTGCTAACGTGAGTGACGTACCCTGTAATGAGCTTACAGTCGAGAGGTAAGCCTGAGTCTGATCGAACATCTGAGCCGAGGAATAAACAAGGAATCTTCCCCCATTATTAACCTCCTCTTCGCTTTTGCCACAGGGCTTACTTGTCAGGAAGACAGGAACGAATGCAAAGAGAATCTCTGCTTTCCTGGCGTGTCTTGTCTGAACACCTTTGGATCATATATATGTGGAATCTGYCCCCCTGGGATGGAGGGAGATGGTAAAAATTGCAAATGTAAGTGTTTTGCATKATTTGTTCTAATAGATGGGGGGGAAATGGGACTCAATTCTGCTGCTATTCCCTTTAATGAGTACTTTGCTACTCACTCCACAACTGGACCTTTCAATACCCAAGCCAGACAATGATCATGCTATACTAATCTGGGTATTTGCAAATTGGTCTCTATTTGCTATTTTTCACTGCAGATTAAYTTCATTTTTAATAGAACAAACACCTTAGCATACAAAAAAAAAAAAAAAAGTATTTTACATATGCCAGCTATATAATTTGCCAAGAATGTTCCACGGGTTCTTGAGTTTTTTGCTGAAAACTATCTACTCCGAAATACACAATAACTTAGAGAACCAACTCTGCAGCACCTACAGGATGTTTGTTTTGTGTGAAAACTGTACAAGCAACAGCTAGTGTAAAAGCAAGGTCAATGTCCAAGCCCTTCACGTATACCTGAATGTCACCTCCATGCTCGAGGTATATTTTTGTTAGAGGAAGCAATCCTTAGCTGCTGAGCTCATKTTTGACATGCAGTTCCCAACCAGTGCAGGAAAAGGCCAGGAACATTTTGAACGTTGTCAGTGTTTATGTCAGGGTTGTCCTCAGCAGCATCGCTAGCAGGGGGAGCTACAGTGATTTCATGCAGCACTGAGACCCTTCAGTGCACAGGCTGTGACCCACTGACACTCTCTGCTTCTGCCTTTTTCAGTTGTACACACACAAGCCTTCAGTAAAAAGTAACATGGGGTTGACAAGGAGGAGCAAATCAGTATTTGAAGTGTTTTATGTTTTGTTAGTGTTTCCAAAGATGTCTAAAAGGCAAAAATACAGACAAGAACTGTGCAGATATTAACTTTTCTTCGTTCTGTCGGTCAAGAGAAAAACAATCTGATGCAAAAAGACGCAGTGTAACAGAGAGGTTCTGAGGCCAGCAGGGTTGCCTTTGCAGTTTTACGGAATATCCTTCTGTCACACTGCAAATGTCTGCACAAAAGTGTTTTCTTTACAGTTGGTGGTTGGTAACAATGAGTCATTTCAAAGCTGATTACGCATCTGCATCACCCAAGTGTGTTTTTGTAGCTAATATGCCCAGCGAGGGAAGGCTATTTTGATACACAAAATTATGCCCTTTTCCAAAATATATCAGAGAAGTCATAACTCTCCTTAGGCCTTTTTTTTTAATCACAGAAAAAAAATCTTTATTTTTGAAATGCATGTTTATTATAAAAGTTAGTTATTGCCTCCAAGTGCTTCTTTTTCCACCAAAAGGGAATATAAATCATTCTTCATGGTTCTCATACTCTCTATTCTGAGACTGACCATCCCTACCCATACTTCCCTTGTTGAAGCACTGGTTGGAAAGATATCCTCAAGGAGACAGAAGGATGAATATGAACCAATTTTATAGCTGTTATAGAGGGCTGTAGTTCATTGCATTGCTTAATGTATATAAAAAGTCACAGCCTTTTCTCTAAGAGTAAAGAAGATCCAAGARATCCAGAGCTGTTTACCTCACAACATATACCCATGTAAAGGTAACAATCCCCAAATCCTTTGAGAAGCTGCCTTAAATTTAGGTAGGAATTATTATTCTTTAATATCTTGAACAATCAATTTTCCCCTTGACTTCCCCATATTTTTCGAACGTGCATTTTAGCGTGCACCAAGTTGACAGCTCAGCTAACTGAAGATAACAAACATGTACAAGGCAGCTTTCAGAGGGAAGCTTTCAAAGTGAAGCAGGAATCAGGCAGATCACAGACCCCAACGTTCAGTGTCTCATCTTTGTGCAAGCAAGCACACTGCCTACCCTATGCTCAATAAAAGATCCCTATGCATATTAACTATGTCTCTTGGATGACTTAAGTTCGGTGAATTCAGGCAAAGTAATTTTTTCTGTATTTGTGTCAAAGCTGTCCTGCATTTCAGCAGCTGACTCATCTGATTTGCCTGTGTTTGATGGCAGGCTTCTGAAATAAACTTATGTCAGGTTATCTGATTTGCTGTTACTGTTGCTTTTTATCATCAATCACAGCTAAGCTCTTAATACCTTGTTTCCTTGCCTCCGAACTGTCTTATTATAGCTGTGCTTGCTGCTGACGTTACAGAAGAGTCCATCATTGACAATAACRATGGCAGAGGTGATCTGAACCCGACTGAGGTTGAATGGCTACTGCAACCCTTAGAGGCAAAGAATTCTCCTGCAGTTAAGAGCATTAACAGAAGTGATACACAAGGTAGGGGTACAGTGATACAGAATCTCTTCCCGATGACGCATTTTATGTATGCAGAGATCACACACTTTATCATCCTCGCAGTAAGCATAAGCATCAGCAAGACAGGGCTGAAAAACAAAACACAATCCTCCTCAGTACATCACATTGTGCATTACTGCTAAACACTGACATGGGCAGAAAGCCATTAGAGTAACAGCTATCAGGGTAGTCCAGCGATCTCACTGCTTCCAAGAAGGAACAAAATCACTCCCAATCTCACTGCTTAGTGTAAGGAAATGCAATATGAGCAACAGCTTACAGGAATTTGCCATAGCCTAACACAGGTGGCATTTTATTTCTGCATTGCACTGGAAGTCACTGAATGAGGACCAGTGTTTGAAGACAAACAAAGGTTGACTCTCAGAGTATGAGCACGACTGTGGCCCAGGCTTCTCTGAGAACGTTTGTGCCTGCAGAAAGTAAAACAGGTGGGGAACCATGCACTTTCTAACATGCAAACACATTCCTCTTACACAGACCCGGTTCTAATGAGTATCATATTTCTTTTCTCGATTTTCTAGCAAAAGTAAAGACCTCAAGAATTGAAACTGGGACTATTTACTATGTAGGTCACATGTGAATGAAAATGTTAGTTTTTTCTCACCTTCATTTGTATATTTGTGCCAGGCCCTCCATGACCTAACCAGAATATGCCTCTTTCAGGCATCCATTGTATTTTTGCAGGCAAGGTACAAGAATAATGCTGGAAATACTTGAGAATCATGATATAGACTTCACTGGAGACAATGAAAAAGATCTACAATCACCACTTAGATTTTATTCATCTGTCCTCTGTCCTGACTCCATTAAATACCTCTTCTGAGGCAGTTCATACGCTCTTGCTATTTAGTGACATCATAAGTGATAAAATATTATATACTACCAGAGTGTTTGATTTTGCACATCATTTGAAGACAATTAGAGCAGTCTCTTTTCATATAATATTTGACACATTAAGGATGATTTCTCAATCAGACACATAAGCACTTAACAGGGTATTYTTAAAGGTATGGTATGTGTACTGTGAAGTTTGATGGTAACCTTCTAATCACAAAAGAACAAAAGTATGTCTGATTAATGCAGCTTCTCAGCTAATCTTTTACTTATGCTGAAAATTATAATATCTATATTATCCATGATAAATGTCAAGCAACTTTGAGTAATAAAATTGAAAACATCTAATTAGAAGACTAATAAATCTTGTCTTAATGAGAAACAGATGTTCTGATATACTCTGCCTACAGGACGTTCTAATATTTGGCACCAGGTTGAGAACATTCTGCATTAATTATATTTTAAAAGAATATAAGCAGTTGTATACCTCTAGCCAGGCTTAGTCATGCTTTATTTTACATGTGCATTTGGTTTATTATAATTTTTAAAAGTGCTCGACCTTCTTTTCGTTAGGCCACCCAGCACCTCCGTCATACGTTACCACCTGCGCCAACAGGCCATGTTTCCCTGGAGTCCCGTGTTTCGATCGGAAACCACCTTACATTGGATACTTCTGTGGCCGATGTCCAGCAGGGTTTTTCGGAAATGGCCGTGTCTGTACCAAAGTCCCCAGATCCCCAGGTACCTCATGATTTTTGGAATTTTAAACCAGTTTTGCAGACAAAGGCTGTGAGAGAATGTGGAAGAGTGTGGAGTTGCAACACAATGTACTTTATAATCAATCACTAAGGGTTTTCTTCTGCCTGTTAACATTCTTACCTGATGACCAGCTAGGAAGTCTTCTTTCAGGTATACTTGGCTCTGTGAGTTGAAAATAAATAGATGCACCATCTCATTTGCCATTAGAGAGAATTCTTGACATCCGGACTTAGTAGATGTTATAAATCACCACATCTGTACTTCTGCTGGAACAGTGGCATATGATTCCAAAACATTTCCATTTCTTTCCTTCTCAGTAACACCAGACCAGGATACCTGCCAATAACCCTCTGCCTTCCTTATTCTTTTGCTGAAAAGCATCTATCTTCCAAAGTGACCTGTGAAGAAGATGGTAAACAAAGTGTCATGTAAGAACACCTATACCAAAAATTAAAGGCAACAGATAATTAAAACACTTCCATATCATCTTTCATAGCTTGAGTAGTAGCATTATTTTCTAGGTCAGAAAATCAGCTAGTCCCATTAATCGTTATGGACTGGTCATTAGAAAAGGTTTTCTGCTGTGATAAAAGATAAGCTGAGCCCTGACCTCAGGCAGAAAGTGCCAGTAAACAGCAACCACTCATCAGCCATAAGATCTTGCTGTCTTTACATCAGTTCTCATAGTTCATTGCACAGTTCTTTAAGGCCAGTCTGGATGGTTGTCCTTTTTTTGCAGCCCAGGGTGATTTACATAGTGAATTGACATTTATTCCTTAATAATTACAGTTATAAGGTCAGGTTAGTCAGGTTCCTTGTTTTGTTTCGTTTAGTTTTTAATAAGTATTTCAGGTGAACCTGCTTGATTTGAGACTTGTCAAATTGTTTCCCAACCTCCTACACTTGTCAAACCTACCTTCACTTCCTATTTTATTCCAATGACCATCACCTTGGCGTTATATTTCAATGCACACTATCAAAGTGGAAGCAATTTTACCACTTAGTGTCGGTATCACCCACTCTCTTTGAACTATAAATTGATTTTAGCCAGTTTTCTGAATTTAAAGGACTCCAAAATAAAACTAACATTTTTTTTTTCTCTGTCTAACAACAAGTTTGTACAATGTATTAATCAGTTTGTCAGTCACAAAGTCTGCTRCAGGTGAAGCTGTAAAAGTTGCTGATCAGAAATAAAAATCAATGTGCATATAAATAAACAGACATTTCTGTTAGTGACCAATGCTGCACTTTGTTGCTAATGGGRTAATATTGTATACACCAAAGGTAATTTTAACCATATAGAAGAGAGATTCTGCAGCTATAGATATTGGCACAATGAATCAGACACACCTACGTTGTGCTTATATAATCATTAATCAAATAATTTGTCTTCTATAAAGGGAAGCTGAGATAACAGGTGCCATTTACAATGATTCACACTTCTCATAAACAGCTCCAGGCAAGATTTAACAAATAGCCCAGGTATCGAGATCTGAAGCTAATATATGCTTCTTTCATAAGCAAGTTGTGTAACTGGCTGGGGGTGTTGTTTCTCTTTTTCCTCCTGAACATGAAAACTGCATCTAGGACTTCATGGTACAAYAGATGCCTGAAACTAGACCCTGAAGTCAAAGGAGGGTCTAAAAGACTACTACCCAGAGAAAGTTGGTCCCATTGCTTGGTAGGCCTGMTGACATCAGTAGGAAGAGGGAGTGCTAAAAATTCTGCTCCCAATTTCAGGGATTTCACACAAATCCTTCTATTGGGTAAGGAATGAAAACAACTTTTGCTTTTCAAGAGTTCAGGAAGGTTTGCTGCATTCGTTTTCTATCTTTCTTGCATTATGCAAGACGTCTGGCTGCGTGGATGTGACAGGCAAGCCCAACCTTTAAAGAATCATGTGCCTCAAGATTAAATGAGAGCAGTCACTTGTTTTAKTATGTAAAAATGAAAGCAATTGCTGAAACTATATGAATGTCCTAATTTACAACTAGACTGATGACATRCGGTTCGCAAGTTCAAGCAGAAGTATTGTAAAGCACACATGATTAAAAGCTATTAGAAAAGAAGAAAAGAATTTTTAATTCAGATTTTATGTGTAAGTTGTGGATTATGATTAATCAGAAATCCTGCCTATGTGCATAAAAGCTTCTCTCCCTTGTAGCTTATGCTGTCTTTCTCCAAACAAAACACAGCAAATCCCTTTGGAGTGTTACAGTGCTCGTGAAGGTACTGAAATTACATGGCACTCCCTTCCAAGTCTGGAAATTTTAATCTAAAATTGTTCTTACTAATTCCTATTTTGTAGTTTTATTGGTTGGTTTGACAAGTATTCATATGCAACTGTTGTGATCTAAGGGTTAAGGCATAAGAATGTTTTCATACAGAAATTGTAAAATTACCCATCTTATCAAATGTCCTTGTAGACTACTGAGGAGAAAAAAAAATATGCCGCAAAAACAATGTTTCCTAAGTTAGTTTTTGATGAGAAGATGCATCCAAAAGACCTTCAGTTTTAATTTATAACAGAAAATAACATATCCTGAGCACTGAAAAGTGATAGGTTTTAATCTTTTGATGTACTTGACTTATCTGTGGAATTAAACCAGTAGGATCACTTGTTTGCAGTAAGTTCTGAGCAATACATATCTGCCTGGTAAAGCAGTCAAGGTCTGAKTCTATTCTTACTTGTATGTTTTAACCGCTTTATATCATTAATTTATACAAGTCTAAATCACCAAGACCTGTTGCAATTATTGTTGGTCTACATTCTTTACATAAAAAATGACCAGTACCTAAACGTGCRTGGAGTTCCACACATAAAGGATAATTACTATTTTTAAAAATACCTTCTCATATGTACTGCTTCTAGGTAAGACAAAGGAAAAATGACTTCCCTCTCTTCAAAATCCATAAAGCATGTAACCTGCATTTTTTAAAAACCAGTAGCATCCCTTAATTTTGCTGGCAGTGCAATAAAAGGAAAGTGTAAGGAATTTAAATCTGTCCAGGCTTCACTGGACAGATTTCCCATTTGTATAAAATATCCGCTACCTTTTTGTTGGAAAAGTCACTCTCATTAAATCAAGCCATGCAGTATCATAGGTCATATTCTTGGCATAAAGAAAATGAATATGTCCTAATGGGAAATGCTAGTGATGTTACTGCGTGTTGCAATATTAGTTCTAGGTAGACGTTCCTGGTGTTTCTCTTGCCTGGTTTCATCACTCTCAGTCACAGAGATACACATCTGTTTGTGCTTTCTTTACAGGTTAGAGAGGTAGGTGTCATCAGAAAAGATTTGTTTTTTCCCTATTAGTAAATCAGCAGTTTTACYGGACAAAACCGTGCCACATCCATCACTGATAAAGGATTGTTTGTTCAGAGACAGCTCTTTCTGCTCCTTTGAGTTTGGGGAGCCAAAGATCAAGGGAAAGGATTATTTTATGATCTCTGTAATCGAGTTCTGCTCTTTTCACTCTGAATACTGCTGCTGCCACTCCTGCCATAGCAGATAATTTGCAGTATTGTAGACATTTGGCATTTGCTATAGTGTTGTATTTCCTAGCTATTTGTTATATACTCTGTATTTTACACGATATCCRCACCTGGAGAATGCTTCTGAATTCACTATGATTTTACATCAGAGATACCTCTTTGACCCTCTCATTTACACCACTATCAAATTGACCTCAAGATGTATATTTAAAAACAAACCAAAATGTTTAAACTCATAGCGCTCAATCTAAAATCAGAGGAACTTACTATTCTTAACCTCTATGTTCTTAACTTTTAACTTGGAAATCACTGCTGCCATTATTAGCAYTCACCATTGATCCCTGCCCATGAAAAATAAATAACTCCTGCAAAACAACATACTAARAGATTTGATTGCCAAGCCAAGGTTTAGTTCTAAAGCTAACTCCAGGAGGGAAAACCTCTTTTTTTGCCTTGAACCTGTCAAACTATTTTGCTTTAAAAATGGCTGAAGAACATAATGCACTCCTTTCATTTCATATCAAACAGAATTGATGAAACTGAACTGCAAAGCTCAAGGCTCAGATTTCAGTCTCACCTCCACTGGTGTAAATCCTAACTGATCACATTAAATGAACAGCCTTACACTAATGGAGTAAGCTCAGGAGTGTTCCTGGAAAGAAGTTTTCTAAAAATTGTTAACATAGGCCCATCTACACACCCTTCCACCATAAAATCTCTCTTTACTRACAGGTATAGATACAATGCACACACTTTGCAGCATTAACAGCAGTAACTAATCAATCTTGACATTATTCATGCCAGGAGTTACAAGACTCACATCAAGGCAGRAATATTTAATGCTGCAGTCATTAGCTGTGGACTCATCTGAGATCCTTGTAAAGAAGACAAAACAGAAATACAAAATAAGCAGAAAATGCTCCTCTGATTTACCTCTGTGTGTTAATCAGCAGCTGGTTCCTGTGAGGTCCAGAGATCTGCAGGCTCTGAAAGGTGGAAGCAGAGTTTCCCTGTGCCTGGTTTCTAACCCCTCGCATTGGTTCAACGCCATTAAAAACACAGRCATGATTCATCTTTAGAACTTGCAGTGCTGGTTACTGACCCCTGTTTCAGTATTTCTACTTTGTGTACTTCAGCCCAAAATGAGCATTTATGCAAATGGATCCGTTATGTTTTAATGCCATGTCCTTCAAGAGGTATGTGACAAAATGGTAGCTGCTGTGCAGTTAGAAATGCTGCCATCCAAACACATAATGCTCTGGATTCATGGAAGATAGTTATGCAAATAATATATGAGTAATCTTTACATTAGGCRAGGTCTAGCATTCTTGGCATAAGTACTGACCATTTCTTACTCTCTGAATACGTAATTGCCACCGAAAACCACCTCCTATACTTGTCAGGATAGGAAGGAAATCAGTCTTTTATGATTTCTCCTTCTTAGGGATATGTAATAAAATGTTGACTGTTTTCCGAAAAAAAAA